TGAACTTCATGGTGTCGCGGTTCGGCCGGAGGCTGGCGAAGTCGGAGAGAACGCGCCGTTGGTACATCATGTTCGGAGCGGTGTGCTTCGCCTGGGACAAGGAAAGAATCACGGACCAGGAGCTAGACTGGTGAGAAGAGGGCATTAATCAATTAATTTATTCATTTTATTTATCTATTCATAAATAATATGAATGTTAAGGGTAGTCCCTTCAGTTATGATACAGATTCCCAGGGGAATCCCTCAACAAATCAGCAAAAAGATAGGATGCAAAGGACTAAGGAGTAGTACTTACCATAAACTTAACATGTCAAGTGTTAACATGTTTGTCGTTAAGATTTTGGAAAAATGCAAAGGTCTCTTTACTAAAATAGCCTTGGTACAGGCCTGTAATTACCACATACCTTTTCGTACATATTGATTTATGATATGATTTCAAACTTTTCTTGAGATACGTGTATGTTTTAATCTATCAGCAAGAAGTCATCAAATTATGAAACCAAGTAGCATTTGAGCAGGTGTCAAAGACCAAACATACCCATGTGGTAAAGGCTAGTACATGTAGTTCGTCAAAGATAATAAAATGTCATGTAAAATTGCCCATTGGTTTCTTAGACCTTGCACCTATTAGTATTACCTTCACCAAAGTGACCATTTTCATGAATTCACCCTCACTCACTCAATGACTAACTAACTGGTATCAATTTCATTATCTGTTGTTCCCAGCCTTGGGAATGCAAGGTTTACCTTAGGATGACAAAATTTATAATATTTTCTGTTTCTGTAGATCTGATATTTAGTCTGACAACATTGAACTAGCAGTTCAGTTATACTAGTCAACCAGGATTCAGAAAAACAGGAATGCCAGCATCCACAAGCTATCCACATGACTGTGATGTCACTTCAGTCACCTTGTTAAACTGCTTTTGGGAAAACCATACAGTATATGTCCTATTGACAGGGATGTATTTTAAGCATATGCTAAAGGACAGGGACATGTCTCTGTGCCTCTTATAGCTGCACATGTATATAAACGCTCACAGTAAACTCTGTATGAGTCAGACATACCTCTAACTTGTGACCCATGCCAAGTTTGTTTACCCTTGGTCTATGCCAAACTCTACCAGACATTTCAAGGACCTTCAAGCCACATATTTGACCCAGTTTTCTGACCATGTCATAGTGGGATGTGATACAAACCCTTATTTCAAAAGGTTGATATTTTTGTGCTTTCTGGCCCACTTACAGTTACATGATGGTGTCCAAAATGTAATTTGAACTTGAGCTTTTTATACCCTAAACAATGACCTTCATTGTCTGACCTTCAGGCTATTCTGCCTGCTTCAGTTACTGGCTGCACTTGGTACTAAAATAGAGCTAGACCCTGCAGGGCTCGAAATTAACATTGTCCCAGTGTCAAATGACACTAAATTTTCAGCTTGGGACAATTCAAATTACGTTTCGGGACAATTTTGGGGCAATTGGAAAATTCTAAGACCATCCACGTCATTTGGGAACGCGATCCATCCATCCTGCTGCAGACTGCTGGCAGCCTACTCTGATGTCCCGATTAAACGTACCGGTACGTTTATTTTTTTCGGCCCGAACGTCCACCCGGTACACTCTAATTAGGGACGGTACGTTTATTAATTTTTGGGAAAAAAAATTGTCCGTACGTACCGCACCATCAGCAAGTGGCCGGCGGCCGCAAAATTCGGCAACACGTCACAGATAAATATTTGGTCCATGATAGCGGCATTTCCCATGAATATAATGTATATTATTTATTTTTCGTCTGCTGTCCATTTTTAAGTCCCAAAACGTCTGAAAAAGCAAAAATTTGCCAACAAAACCGAAGGGGACGGCGAGTAGCTAATCGACGTATTTAGCACATGGCGGCAGCAAGTCCTTGTCAAAATCGGCAACGCGGCAGAAAAATGCCTGGTCCATTTTAGCGATATTTACCATGAAAAAAACGTATGTAGTTTATTTTCCCTCTGGTGTTAGTTTTTAGGTACCGAAACCCCTAAAAAAGTAGAAATTTGCCCACAAGACGGACGGCCGACGTGGGGAGGGCGCCTAGCGCCTGAGCAGCATGACCCGTAAAAAGTCAAAGGTCATAGGGCACCCATATTGCGCAATCACCGTAAAAGCGCCGATTTAGCTATAATTTTAGGGCGTTTAAAATTGATACAATCACATTATCGATTTTTAAAAAAACAATGAGATGGAAACCAATCAAAATTTTATGCTGAATAATATTTTTTGTCTTCAAAAGTTTTTTTCTTCAGAATCCAGACTTTGACCAGACTAGACAATGTACCATACCAAATAATTATTATGTTGAAATGGATTTTGTTGTATTTTCAGAAGTGCAAAATGCAATAGCTTCTCCTACGGATTTTGTATTTACCCAAAACAAGTACAATATATATATACTCATTAATTAAAGTGATATATACTCACTAATTAAATGTAACAGTGAAAGATTTGCCCATATATTGGTATTGAAATAAAGAGCACATTTTAGTATCATGGACACACAGTTCACCTGTCAATTTGGTCATTTTCCGGGGGGTACGTTTATTCCGGAGGGTATGTTTATTAGACTTTGAAGATTTGTCCGGGGGGTATGTTTATTCCGGGGGGTATGTTTATTAGGGACATGAGAGTATAAATATATAATACTCTGACAAACATTTAAATTTGACAAATCAGGGATTCCAAATATCAGGGACGGTGCCATGCCCATGATATTATCATGTATTTCCCTTGTATTTAACCTCCTTGCATTTACTAATAAAGTGGACTTCAAGTTGTACAAATTCAGTTGTTGTTTTCTTATTTTTGTCATCAACTTATTTCCTGAAAAGCAGGCTGGGACAGTCCATCTTCAGTTCGGGACAATTGAAATCTATGTTCGGGACAATTCTGGGACAATAGTGAAAAAAGTTAATTTCGAGGCCTGCCCTGTGAAACTATAGGGACTGTGGTATGATTTCCTTTGGGGCATGTTGGACCTAGAACTGAGGAGGTTGTATGTGTTGGCCCTGGAAACAGTCTGACATAAAGAGGCTTGTACATATGTAAGTTGCGGGCCTCCGAGAAAAGTATTTCAAACAACTTAGTTGTAACCCCACACCTCTGACATTGTGATCTATAGTGGCAAATCAGCATTCTA